TGGTGTGGATTCATTGCGCTCTTGCTGGATAAATTGGGAGGCGATTTCTCAAATGAAAACACAGTAACTACAAAAACCATAACAAAACCCAGTAACTACTTAGCAGTTACATGGTTTTGGTGTGGGTTTTGTTAATTACTGTGTTTTGCAGTGGGAGGAACATCGATCAACTGCCGGTTACTGTGGTATGCGAATACCGTATTTTCCTTATTTGTGCACCGATTTTAGTTTTAACAATCCTCAGAAACAGAAGACAGCCCATCCCCCCAATACACAGTGAACAGGGGATGGTGTACACAACCGAAGAGAAGGCAGAAGCTTTTGCTGACAACCTTCAGAGACAGTGTACTCTCAATACTCACCCCGATGAAGACGAAGACTTCATCGACGAGGTGATAAGAAGATCGAGGAGAGCTGTAAGAGGAGGAAGAGCCATTGAAGACATGACCTCTCCAGGCGAGGTAAGGGAAATCGGAAGACTCAAGGTGAAGAAAGCACAGGTTGTAGACGAAATTGGGAACAGAGTCTTGAAGAAACTCCCGAGGAAAGCGATAATGGCTATCACCAACATTGTCAACGCCATACTGAGACACCGTTACTTTCCAGTGTTCTGCCGAAGTGATCAACATACCAAAACCTGGGAAAAACCCAAGGTTCTCCCAAAACTACAGACCCATAAGCCTGTTGACGGCACTGAGCAAGATTGCGGAAAGGGTAATCGAACGAAGACTGAGGAACGAAACTGAAGAACTACGAGTAGCTCCAGATGAACAGTTCGGATTCTGGAGCGAACATTCAGCAGAGCACCAGGTCCTAAGGCTGGTCGAGATGGCAACGAAATCGTTCCAGACTCGGCGGGCCGTGGGAGCTGTGTTCATGGATGCCGCTAAGGCGTCCGACACTGTTTGGCATGACGGACTGATCTACAAGATGGTAGACCTCGGATACTCAGCGGGGATGATCCAACTGGTGAGGTCCTATTTGAAGCATCGTACATTCCGAATTAGGATTGGTAAAGCAACTTCGACGACGAGGACTGTGGAGGCAGGAATACCGCAGGGAGCGGTTCTATCACCCCTGCTGTATGCACTCTACAGTTCAGACATCCAGAAGACTCCACAAACGCAACTGTATGTGTATGCGGACGATACAGCATATGCGGCAGAAAGTACGAGACCCCGCATGGTTACGGAATATCTGCAACGAGCGACTACCAACCTAGAGCAATGGTGCATCAAGTGGAAGATCCGCCTCAACCCTGAGAAGACAAAAGCGGTACTGTTCAGAAGAAATCGAAGATTACCTCAAATCAAAACAAAGATGACGACCACCAGAATGGAGAGAGGCTGGAGAAGAGACGAAGAAGTTGAGGTCGACTGGAAGGACTACAGCACATACCTTGGAGTCAAGGTGGACCAAAAACTCACTTGAAAGAACCATCTCGAGGGCCAGGTGCAGAAAGTGAAGATGGGACGCTCCAAACTAAGACCTTCAATAGGCAGAAGAAGCAAAGTGTCCTTAAAAAATTAGACCATCATGATTCAGATGGTGCTGCTCCAAATCATGTCTTACGCAGCAGTAGCTTGGGGCTACGTTTCTAAAACGATGAAGAAGGGGCACCAAGCTCAACAAAACATAGCTTTCCGTGAGGTGGTGCACGCACTGTGGTATGTACCTCACAGAGTGCTATATGACGAACTACGACAGGTACCGGTCGAAATCCAGATGAGAGAGAGGGCCCGAAAGTTCTTTGAAAAGAATGAAAGACATCGAAATATGCTGATTAAGGACGCCTTGGATTACGACCCAAGAACAATAAGGCATCATAAAGGACCGAAAAGCCAGCTGCAACAAGAAGAAATTTGGCCCTAGCAGCTGATGAGGCCAAAGAAAAGGGGAGAAGACCGACAATAGTTGTACACCCAAGAGGGTAAAGAACAGCCCGTGTACAATTGGTGAACAAAAAGAAGCCTGTCGATTGAGGTGGCCAGAGTCAAGCACGGACTCAGGGCTAACCTCAGGAGATGAAGACAAACAGCAAATGACTGACTGACGACTGACTGACTCCTGTCGACGAAGAAAGAGCGAAGGCTCACCAACCTTAATGCGGAGCTTAGGTCAAATCCCCCAGCGCAGGATTCCCAAGAAAGAGGCCGTCCATAAAAGTCGAGAACCGACAGTTGGAAGAAACGTCCACCACGTGCTTCCGCGACGCGTGCGCGATCGAGTCAAATTTCGGGAAAAAGGGGCAAAATTGTTGAGGGGGTTAGCTCGCTTGGCAGCACACACTCTGGGAATGCGCAGCGGCCTGAACCACGCAGCGCCACGCCAGGCCTTCGGGCGGGAGAGGAGGTAGGAGCAGATTGCGCTTGCCCCCACTCCTCAAGGGTTTGAGGTTGCCTGGAACAGGGGTGGTGGAGGGACCGCACAGGGTAGGAGGGTGTGTGCGTGTGTAACAGTACCAGAAGGTAGAGCAAAACGCAGCAAGTTCCAATTTATTAAAAAATCGATTTTGACAAAAATGTCGGTTACTGTGTTTTGTAATGGGACAGCCGAGTGGGCGTCTTTGGTACTTTATGACTCCGGAGAACAACAGTTTCCAATCTTGATTGATCGTGGACAACAGAACCGACTTCTCGGGCAGTTATAGGAATAATTATAATCCAATTAAGTATAGCCCGTCGCCAGTCCAGATCGTAGTTAAATTCTACAAAATCGCGTTGCGGTATTGGACACACTGATGAGGATTTAATTTTATTGTTTGTCAACAAGGACAGACGCTATGCGTTGTGGTGACGAAAATACGTCACCTGATTCCTTATCAAAAATGGATAATATTCATACAACGGCTAAAAAAGTAATGTTTGCAAATATTCACGAAAGCGTGTCATTATGAATATGTTAGGCAGATAAGGGACATAATGTGCCGAATATAATTGTTGGAAAAAGGACAAGCATAATTTTCCCATAAAGCGTTTTATAAAAACTCCTCGGTTGCATGACTGCTGCCGTTAAACCTGTTAATTACATATACGAATAAAAAGAGTTGTCTAACTAGGTCTTGCCAGTGAACTAGTTCATACTTTTACGGAACTAGGTATCCACTGCCCTGCATTGTCTATCCAAATCGAACGACATATATGTATCGATTCTTTTTATTGTGCAATGTTTCGGCCGCCAAATACATTTCAAATATTCGAACAATAAATAGAACTTAAAATATAAACCCGGATTTATCGAAAACCACTGATTAAAAGAAAAAACGCTAAGACACGTCAAAAGATTTGTCAAGGAACACAACTTTTTAACCAAAGGCTGCTACACCCCCTTTCACCCTCGGCTGCCCAGGGTCATTCCCTTAGGAATTTCAAATTACAAGGGTTATCAAGTAACGGCTTGTTTGAATTTATTGATTTTTAAAAATCAGTTGATTCGTTTTTGAGAAAATTAGCAAAATCTTTATCTATCATTTGTTCACATAGACATCAAAAACACACCAAAATATCACTTTTTATTTCAATAAGTTTTCAAAATGTTGCCCGTTCGGGTTCACCAAATCTATTCTTTTATAACTTAAAACGCAAACTACCAACACAAACAGCAATTCTGAAGATTAGACGTGGCACAACCAAATAACAACCCAAATTTGTTCCCGCATTCTTTTCTCAACACAGATATCCTGAGCGAACTGTATTTATTGTTCTACCTGTTTAGTTATTTGTGGCTAAGGGAAGGAAATAATTTAATTTTATGTCAGTTATCTTTGTGACAACTTTGGAATAGTGAAAATTAATTTATTGATTCAGATTTTACTTTCAAAATGGTTTTCACACTAGCCGAAAGACTGGAAATGATTCTAGTTTATGGTGTGCAAAATCAATATGCTCGCAAACTGCCATCACTTTTAACGCCAGACATCCGGGGAAAATAGCTTATCATATGTATGTTTTGAGTCTTGTTACTAAATTAACTCAAACTGGATCTATCGCAAATAAAAAACGTGATCTTCGGAGAGTTTTGGATGAAGCCGCTCAAGTTCTAGTTTTTGGATCATTTTGGAATAAATCCTAATACTGTATTACGCAAAATTGTTGCTGCGAATGGTATTTCACTTTTAACCCCTTTAGCTTTTTTCGTTTTCAGAAAATCGAATAGGCAACTGCAGATTTCATTTGGCCCTCGTTTAGACATAACAGAACCCTTCATTGTTAGCTATGTCATGGACTGTTTAATTATACGTTGCAATTTTACTTTTATAATAAAATGTATTTACTTCTATCTGAGGGGTAACCAACACATTAGTAGCCAGCTCTTTATCCACATCTTTCAAGTTCCTGACTGCAACTTTATTGGCTAAGTGCTGATCGTATTGTTCTTGCATATTCAATTTTACATCATTGTCAGCGTCTTTGTAAGCCGTGCATAGTTGAGACTGGTCCTTCTTTGGTTTGAAGAATGCAATATTGAATTCTAAGTTCAAAATTTCCCGATACTGCCGTACAGTTTCAAACTGAGCTCCGTTGGTTCCAATATGCTTTGCACATTCTGTACATTTTCGTAATATTGAAACCTTCCTCTAAATTAATTTTGTTTGAATGTTTTCTAATGTAATAAGAAGGAACTATTGGAAACAATTTAACATGAACTCTCACACTATCCTTAAGATCTTCTGTAATTTTGTTGGGTCTTACATTATGGCTTCCCCGCATATCTTTTTCTAAAGTACCACCCAATGCAATTTTTTTAAAGCAGTTGTAACCTAGGTCTCCGATATACCCAATGTGTTTAAAAACATCGTTTTACAACTTTTTATCTTTTGATTATCTATCGAAAAATTATATGCTCGAGACGAATTGCGCCTTAAATCAGTTTTGTTAACTACCTGATTTTTTCTACTTGGTGAACACATTTAGAGACAAAATCCCATTGCCTCGTATGACCTCATGGAGCTCATTATTCTATATTAAATTACTTCGCCTACTCGATTTTCAAGTTTATTTCCCAGATTAAGTTCTTTTTTAGCTTTATAATCCTGTCACTCATTTTCTTGGCCTAAGCGTTTTTTACATACCTTGTCCCTTATTGTCATTTTTTTTGCTTTAGTTTTGGTGTGTGCTTCACCCGCTGATTCAGCATTGTCATCAGTAGGAACATAATTTGGATCGCAATCATAAAAATCGGAATGTTCTATCTCATGATAGTTGAAAGGGCATTTCTTTTACGCATAATTAATAATTTTCTCCAACACCTCTCTTGTCATGGCAGAATGATTTTCCGCTTTTTCGCAGCAGTCTGACGGTAGACGCTTTCCCAGAAGTATTGCTGTAAAAAAAAACTTCTGTAACATATTTTTTCAAATAAACGCTATTTTAGTTACAGCAACTATTTAAGACGAAATTAATTTACCTAATCAGTATAAAAATAAAAATAATTTTAATTACCAGGAGATTTTTCCGAAAGCACATAGACTGGATCATTATTATCTTCAATCATTTTAGAATGATTATCTTTTGCTTCACTACATGAAAATACTTTTTGTTATAAAGGTAAAGACGGTTCTGTAAAAAAATGAAAACAAGGATTATCAATCAATATACAATTTCTTAGTATTTCTGAAACATAAAACACCATAGTCCTTGCGAATGCAGACATAGAAAATATTAACTATTCCTATGGTGGCTGAAGGAAATTCAAACATATTACATCAATCAGAAGTGATAATAATATCATTATCATTTTTGTACTTACCAGGATCTGGTTGCTCATAAATGTTTTTGGATAACTCCAATATACGTTTTATTCTATTCATATTTCAGACATGCAACACTCTTCATCTTCACTCAAAATTCAAACTACAATTCATAACCCCAAAAAGTTGTGAGAGAATCCATAGTAACTCGAAGAACGTACAGCACAATCTATACATTTCCCAACGAAAACTGTAGTAACTCGATAAATCTTGTTCGAAGAGCCGATTATAATAAAGCAAAGAATAAATATAGTAAGTTGTTTGACAAATGAAAAAATTATAATGTGGTTTTTGGGTTGCCTACATAGCCACATGAGTTACGACAGTATTCTATAGTAAAGCTACATATCGAATAATTAACAACAAAGTAGTAACTAGATTATCATTTATCATTAAAATGAGACAAAGGAAAATGTATTCATCGGACTTTTACTATAAAGTGGACCAGTAAGTTCTTTCGATGGGATGTAGCGCTTACCTTGGGCTGGTGGACTTTCTTTGGCTAAATGAGCAAAAATTTTTACATAAGTTTCCTCATCTATATCGTCGTCAAATACCATAAATGTTGGCAGAACTTTTGTGAAGCAGAGCTATAGGCGTGTAGTCGTAAGGATCAGTCTTAGATCTCCTCTGCTAGCGAAAGATGACAAATGATTTCAGATATAAATAGCTTGTTGAGCCTAGTGCTCAATGATGACCTAGATCTCATCCCATGTAAGTAACTCCTAATTTCCATACGGCCTATATTTTCAATCCATTATCTGACCCTGTCATCTGTCAATAAGAAGGATAAAGATAAAAAGGGAGCTGCGAGGACATCAACGCAGAATCGGGTCGATGCGACCCCAATGCTCGGATCCCGAATCCCGCTACTAGGTTGATACAAAATGGATCCCGCCCGGAACCTCCGGGAGTATATATATGAAGATTTAATCGGCTTATTCTTCCGACAGATATATTGCCGATGTGTGTATGGCGGTCTGTGTGTGTCTACTCCGATCAGTGTTGCAACTCTATTGGATTTTATCCGCCTAGAATATAAATTGAAAATAAGTGCACGGATTTAATGCCACTAGAGGTCGTGTATATACTGTGTGCGATTGGTTTCTCATAAATTATGTGTGCTATCCACCTAGCAAATAAAATAGAATGGATATCAGTGCTAGCTGAGAGTTATTAGTAAAAAGAGACTTTTAATGTTAATGGATCGCAAAATAAATGAATGAATGAGACAACTAGAGTCATTCCGGCGACCTTTCCTTCTATTATGATGCTAAACTCCAAGCTCCTCCCACCTGGTGGAAGTGGAAGTTGTACCCTTGTGTTAACATCCTGGGGATCTGAAATGGACTCTCTATTTTATCTCGTGGGCTCTTCTTCTATACGAAAACGCAAGATGCTCCATCACCTTCATGAAAGTACCGTAGATTGAATTTAATTGTATCGTGCGTACTTCGAGACAAATACTTTTTGTAAAACATGTTCACAAATCACTATACAGGGTTTGTCCGGAAAGTAATAGGACTCATTTACTTCGGAGCGTACGCGCATGGACTGGAATCGGTAGAGGGCGTTCCTAGCTAACGAATAAGCGGCGGGTCAGTTGTCTCCGAGCACTTGGGGTGTCAGGACAGGCATTTTCGCACAACGTGTTTCTGTGAGTAAATCTGCGACAGAGACGTTTGATATGATCAAGCAGGCTTACCCAGGTGTTGCTTTAGCAAGAAGTGGTGTGTTTCGGTGGCACCAGGTCTTTTTGGAGGGCCGGGAAGAGGTCGCTAATGAATACCGTGCTGGAAGACCTTCGACAAACACCGATAATGTGACTCGTGTGCGCAAAGTTTTGAACTCAGCCCGTCGACTAAGTATTCGTTTAATTGCCCATATGTTAAATTTACCAAAATCTGTGGTTCATGACATTGTGACACAGCATTTGAACATGCGCAACGTGTGCGCGAAGATGGTCCCAAAAGTGCTCACTGACGACCAGAAATTGCGGCGAGTGGAAGTGTGCCAAGAAAATTTGAACATGCGTGAAAGTGATCCCCAATTTTTGAATAACGTAATCACAGGTGACGAATCGTGGATCTTCGGGTATGCTCCCGAGACAAAGAGGCAATCTTCCGAGTGGTACACGACGGCGTCTCCTCGCTCAAAAAAAGGAAGAATGAGCAAATCCAAAGTGAAAACGATGCTCATTGTCTGTTTTGACATCGAAGGTATCGTCCACCATGAATTTGTTCCTCCTGGACAAACCGGCAACGCCAAGTTTTACGTGGAAGTGCTCAGGAGGCTCAAACGAAGGATCAGTCGGGTCCGACAAGACATCGCAGCCGAATGGAAGTTGCACCACGACAACGCCTCGGCTCACACCGCCTTTCTTGTGAACAGCTACCTGACCAAGGCCGGCATCCCTTACGCTTCCGCAGCCGCCCTACAGCCCAGATGTGCCCCCCGGACTTTTTTTTGATTGAGACGACAGAGGGGATCCAAGCAGCATGCACCGCGGCTCTCAAGGCTATTCCGGAGAATACCTTCCGTGATGCCTTCAATGCTTGGAAATCGCGCTGGCAGCGCTGCATCGATGCAGAAGGAGCCTATTTTGAAAGTCTTTAAAGAATTGTAACGATTGGCTCAATAAATTTTTTTAGGGTTTGTTCTATTACTTTCCGGACAAACCCTGTACGCATAATACCAGATTGCGCCATTTTCAGATTAACCATAATTATCCATTCATACATCAGCTATAGGGGAACCGTGAAACATACTTTCTATTTTATAACAAAAAACACATCTTATCTTTTCACCGCACTACGTTGGTGTAGCAAAATATTCAGGAAGTGGATAGATTATGTTAGAACCAAGGATAATAGTGGTTGTCACGTAAAATCCAATACCCCGTCTACAAAAAAGGCGGAGCTGTGGATTACCAAACGTCCATTCTCCTTTTAGAAAGGTGAGTCAAAATTTGAAACAAGAGATTGGAACTCCTCTTAAAAAGTTCATCTTCCATGTATGGCTCAATAACTGGACGTCCTGTATAATATTGAATATTCTAAAAATGTTTTGTCTTGTACCATGCACAACTATTGATAAAGGGTTTCCTTCAAAAAGTCTTAGCTTTGGGTTAATGTGCGGTCCATGCACGGTGGGGCCATCCTGTACAACTACCGTAACGAATTTATGATTTTGAGCAACAAAAAAACAAAATTTAGGACCACAATAGATTACGATAAAGAACTGACAGGGTATAGGAATAGTATATGTTTAAATAGCAAACGTTGCGAGATATCGAGGAACCGTTAGAAAATCTATCAACCATTATATACAGTGAGATAGCTAAAACTGGAGCTCAAATCAGTTACAATGGTTACAAGAGCCAGAAATAAATTGCCGAACTTTTTTTGAACCATCTTTATTTCTTCATGGTGGATTTACTAAGCCAAATTCATACAGAATTATAAAATATTGATAAGATATAACTTACAATGTAAAAAGTACCAGTAAAGAGTACCAGTCAAGAGTACCAGTAAAGGGCAGCCGCTGTGGCCGCAGTAGTAGACTCTTCGGTCTCCTGATCAGTCGCCGTGCGCTGTGTGGGTTGGAATCCCGTCCCAAGGGAAACCCATGAGAAATTTTTCTCTTGGCTAGGGACGTTGTGATTGTCCGTAGGTCGTAGACGGTCTCTGACTGTCGAATGCAGAAGTACCACCCGGCGGATCTCGTAGGCGGTACCAGATTATGTGCATGTTGCATGCACACGTGTTCCCTCGCCAGAGTCGGTGTGGCGATCCCCCTTTCCCCTGTATCCTCCTATTGCCCCACGGTACCCTATGGGTGTTTAGGCCTAGGGCCTTCGTAGTGGTTGGAGTCCAACTTCCACCCCTCTCCAGACTAGCGCATTGTCGATGTTCTTGTTATAGACGGTGTTCGCCCTCAATAAAAATTCCATCTACTTCAGAAAACATGTACTTCAAACCTTAACTAGTACAAGTTGAGAATCTATGGTTGTATCCTTTTGATAATCAAACAAGGTAAGCAACTGTGAGTTAAGGTACTCTAACAGCGACACGGGTACTTGTTCTTGACACTTATTCTGCAACATCCCTGTTTGCATTCCTGATTTCTGGCACATGAGCCGGCGCGTGGCATGCAACACGTTTCTAAGGAGCGATTTTGTTGCAATGGAAACGTTCGAGCTTCATGGATTCAAAGAATAGCGAAGTGGACAAGTGCCTTAGCTAGTAAGTTAGCTTTCGGCCAATCATGAACAGGTCATACGAATGAAAGCTGCAGGGTTTGTCCGGAAAGTAATAGGACTCATTTTCTTTCGCCATGACTGTACTTCGGAGCGTGCGCGCACCGACTGGACTCAGTAGAGGGCGTTCCTAGCTAACGAATGAGCGGCTGGTTAGTTGTCTCCGGGAACTTGGAGAGTCAGGACAGGCATTTCCGCGCGACATGTTTTTGTGAGTGGTGCAAGCCCAAAATGCAGCATCCGTTAGAGCAGAGGTACGCGATTAAATTATGTGTAAATCTGCGACAGAGACGTTTGATATGATCAGGCTTACCCAGGTGTTGCTTTAGCAAGAAGTGGTGTGTTTCGGTGGCACCAGGCGTTTTTGGAGGGCCGGGAAGAGGTCGCTGATAAAGACCGTGCTGGAAGACCGTCGACTTCGACAAACACCGATAATGTGACTCATGTGCGCAAAGTTTTGAACTCAGACCGTCGACTAAGTATTCGTTTAATTGCCTAGATGTTAAATTTA